AACCCCCAGTAGAGACTTCTTCCCTGAATACTGCACTCTGAGCCGCCTTGCAGTTTGTTGTGGTCCTAAGTTTCCCCATTGCACTCAGCCTGAGCCATCCAACCTCTTCCTCATTGATGTCCACTTTGACACTATCCACCTTTAGCCCCTGTTTGGTTTTGGTTCGTGTCGCACGAACCCCACTCCTATTGCCTTCACTACCTCCTCAGGTTACCACATCTCTATATGAGCTTTTCTGATCTCCACCATAGAGCTCCTTGTTGTTTTGGTGTATCACAGGTCCTTCCTCATCATTCCTTTCCTTAGGCTTATCAGCCTCTTCGATGACTAGAAACCTTCCATCTAACCAGATATGCTGCCCGTCATATGGCTCTGTTAAATTCCTCAGCTGTTCAGTATCGGATGAATGCAAATCTGGTAGCCCTTCTCATCGATTGTTTGGGCATGAAGCAGTCAATCACTACCCCAATTTGATCAAAGAACATCTTAAGTTCTTTCCATCCTATTTTTCTGCTCACATTATCTACAAAAGCTGTGAACACTCCTCTTCTCCAGCTGCTGGATGTCAGACTTTCCAAATCTTCCCTTCCCTTCGATAGCCCTTCTGTGAAATTCCGCATTCCCACCACTCACCTTCGACCCTTGGGAGTCCCACCAATCTACTGCTCTCACTCTCCTAGATCCTATCCTATGGTTTCTCGCAAGGTTTCTCTCATGGTTCCTCTCTTGGTTTTCCTCTCAGTTTCTCTCTAGGACACCCTCTCGATCTCTCATTTTTGACTGCATCTTGGTACTTTTTGACAAGTGTATTTAACTTTGGGATAATGTTTTATTATCATTTTACCCATTTAAATATTATTTATTTAATATATTAATTTCTTGGGGCTCATCCCTTGGGGTAGAAGCTAGAATAAGAATAATAATGAGAACCTTTTTGACAAATAATATGTACAAAACTGAATTCAAATGAAATGGTAACGTAATTTAGTAATTGTAAAAAATAGTATATTTTGATAAGTATAAAATATACAAATTCCAAGCATTGAAGTTCATATTGCTTACGTAAAGAATTGAATAAAAATTAAATAGAAGTTATAAAACTTTAAAAATTACAAGGATGATTGGAAATAGAAGAAGAAAATAAAGTTATATGAACAATTCATTTTGTGTGCAAACTATAACAACAACCGAGTATAAAAGGAGATTGCTTGACACAACCATTAGTGTCAAATGATTGTTGATTAACTGAAAAGGTAAATCCTTAATTTAAGGTGTTAAAAGTCAACTAGTACCATTAAGAGAATCTTAGAAAATCAAATGAGTAGTTGGTTCTAGAACTAAAAGTATTAGCAAATTAGAGAATTTACCATATTAATACAAAGTTTTGTGAAGGTGGGGCCGAAGACAGACAAACTTATCCTTTTTTGTTCTAGAAAGGGTATATATATAGAAAGAGTTGAAAAGGTCAGGGCCCCTGCTAGCAATGCCTTCCCCGACCCCAAGACTTTGCCCCTGCTTGTGGCTTACGCTATAATGTATGAAATGCCTTGCTGTAAAGTTTAGTCTTTTAAACATGGTGTGTTAAATCACTTACATAGAACCTTAGAAACTAATAGAGTGATGGCGGCCCTAAAGTCCCAATTCTTTAGCTTGTCGCTCCTGCATCAGTTCATGTTTAACAATTTGTTTGTTCATGCATGATCCTGTGCAAGATGCTAAATTTAGTCTTCTATGACACATTTGCGTTCTGTTAGTCACTTGTAGCGAGGTTCTGTAAATACTCCATAAGTTCTAATTTCTTGTTTTGTCATTAAGTGCAATTATGTCTATCCTAGTTTATGACTTTCTTATGGGTTTTTTCTTTTTTTTTTCGTTTCACAGGTCCGATACCAAATGTAGACATTGTATTGTCCATATGTTTGCAGAGTGACTTACCAACTGGTCAAACTAAGAAGTCAACTGCGCTCCCATCTCAAAGGACTACAGGTCCTGCTCCTAGCACAAGTGATCTTTCTGGTTCAAGCAAGTCCCATCCCATCCCTAGTAGCTCATCTTTCAGACCAAGGGACAGACATCTTGGAAAAAGAAAGGATCTAGACAGTAAGTTTCCTGCCTTATTCATGGGTATGAATTTTGATAATCCATATCTTGTGTGTTGAGGGTTAACTGCATATTTTTATTATTTCTTCTTGGGATAAGGGACCAGCCATGGTGGGTTGAAATTAATACAAGTGGGATGTGCTATCGCACTTATAGATGTAATTTTCTGTTATTCTGTTGTTGGCCAGAGGTACATACTTTGTGTTAGTGTTGAAGATTCACAGATAGCCTGTGTGTTACTTTTATGAGAGTTCATTGCATCTAGCACTTTTGGCAAAGCATTTGATTCCTGATTTCAACTGGTTGTAGCTCTACAGTTAATTGGGGAGTTAAACTGCCTTACTTTTTTTTTTTTATAATTGGGCAAAGGGGATTCGAACCCTACTCTTTAGACAGGGAAATAATGCACCAACCAATGGGCCAACTGCCTTACTTAGTACAGCGTCATTCAGAAAAAGTAATTACTTTTCTTTCAAGTGAGATTCACAAGTTTACTCAAAGAGATATGATTCTATGAAATAATGCTCTTTTAGTATAATCTACAACCACAATCACTTTCAAATTGGCCCAACTTTGGAAATAGTTGCGAGCTAAAATACATCTCTAAGCTTATCTGTCTTCAGGGAGAGATTTGGCTTATCTTTGTTTTCTTATTTTACCAGGGCAAGAGGAGGATGAAACTACAACAGTTCAAAGCCAACCACTGCCAAGAGACGTTTTCAAGATACGGCAAATTCAGAAGGCTCGAGGAGGTTCTGCTTCACAGACTGGATCAGTATCTTATGGAAGTGCTCTTTCTGGGGATCTCTCCGGCAGTACTTACTAATGTGTTCTTGGCTCTTTTGAGAAATGTCTGGTTAGTTCAATAAAAGCATCTTCTCCCTACAATTCTGGTTTTCTTATCTTTCCCCAGCTCCCTTTTTGTGGTCCATATTCTTTTCTTTATATTAATTCTAAAGTTGCCCCAGAAGTAAGAAAGAATTTGATTAAAATACTTCTGTATGGTAATAATAACTTGATAAACTTGATTGGTCAGTTTATGATGCCTAGTTCTAACAATTAGAAGATAGTTATACTGTAGAATTTGGAAAATAAATCAATTAGATGCTGTCAAGTGTCAATTGAGGTGGCAAAAACTTTCCAAACTTAAGTGAGTTGAGTTGAACTTAGGTTTCAAACCTGACGCAACCATGGTAGAGGGAGGGCACAACCTGATGCAGATCCCAAAGATTACAGCACAGCAGTTGTCATTGCAGATTGCTAACAAGATTGATCTTGATGAAGCTAAGTTAGGCAGCAACCATCGAACACAAACAGGAGCTCAGATAGCAATGGCAGCAGATCTCATTAAAGAATATTTTATGTTCAGCTAAATTCAGAAGCTTGTCCTAGCTGTACCAACTTGTATTTTAAATTTGTAAGCTTGTATTATCATAATTGTTCTTGTATCATAAATACATTACAAAGGGCAATGCAATACTTAGGGCATTTTTCAGCCTTGTTTAAAGGTTTTTATGGTATAGATAGAGCAGTAAAGGTCTCTTGAGCAAAGCAGCGTTATCCCTATGGCATCCTTCAATTCTGATGTTATTACCAGTTCCCCAACGTTCCCATCCAATCCTACCTTTCTCTACTTAGTCAAATGCACCCCCCAACCTCAACTCACGAGTTATTCCAAATTAAGTACCTTAATGTTTCAACTTACTCAAAATTAGCATCTTATTGCTAAAATGATCTTTTCATATGTTCACAAGGTAGGTTTATGCATGCCATAATGTAAAATAAATAAATAAATAAATATTTAAAAATATTCAAATAAGTCATTGTTTTATTATGTTTAATTAAGTTTTTTTATTTTTTATTTTGAATCATATAAAGTTTTATGATTAATAGTAGAGTAGTTAAAATATTATTTGTTATTTTACATGTGAAAAGTAAAAATGTTACATCAATATATCACATCATTATTTATTATAGTGTGTTAACATGTCACGTAGAATAAAATAATATAGTATTTTAACTAATTCAATCATTAGTAATAAAAGTTTATTTGGATCAAAATAAAAATATAAAAATTTATTTGACTCAAAATTAAAATTTAAGAATTTAATTGAACGCAATCAAAGAATAAATGATTATATGATATACCATCAACTTGGATGTATCTAAATCTATCAAACTATCATATAGAGATTACTAATTGGCCTTAGATCCATATATCATATACATTAGATGGATACAAAACTCCCTTCAATGGATCAGACGGGTTAAATTTTCATTAATCAAATTCAAAGGGCACATCAAATATAGGTTTCATTGATGTTTCAAAAAATTCAGAAGTCATATTTTCATATCTGCTTATATACAATAATGGATTATATTTAAAATATTCAAAAGTAAAACATATATGATTATTAGTTTTTATTTTTGATTCGGATGTCAAATTTTATCAAAATATCAAATTCTCTCATATGACATATTAACATATCATAATAATAATGATGATTTAGTATATTAATGTGATATGATGATATGATAATTATCATTATTTTACCTCCGCACGTAATCGTCATGTGAGTATAAAATAATAATTAATCGATTTTTAATTATAAAAATTTAGTGAACTGAAAATAATATAAAAATTTATTTAAAATGTTTTAAATAATTTAAAAGAATTTTCAACCATTACGTTGAATAAATTTTAAATAAATTTATAAATTCGTTTATAAAATTAAAACATAGGAGTTGTTAACTTCTTGGGCAGTTCAAATTAAATTAATTTAGGTTTGGGACAAAAGAAATTAATAAAAGGGCTAAATTGAATAACAAAGGAAACATGCAGGCGCCATTTGGCATTTTGGCCACTCAAAGATTTAAACACTCTTCCACTCTTTGTAAGACAACATTTCCTTGTTCCTGCTATTTTCCATTCTTAAAACTTTTTTTTTGTTAAATTTTCTTTTATTATGAAAACTACGAGTTTAATCAATTCAAACCCAGAAGCTTCTCAAAGTTTGATCAACAAAATCTATGGGGTCTTCTCTGACAATGACGTACAATTTTCGTCCCCGATTTCCTCTGCCAGGACTACGGAATTGGAGTTGGTTCGAGGAGTTGTTCGGATGTTGCAAGGCTTTTCGGGTTCGTTGTTTTCCTGGGACCGAAAGGGGCGGCGATTTTGTGTGAGAAGTGGGATTTACGTGACGCATTTGTCGCAGTCGAGCCTCGGCGTGATGCTCAACCAATTCATGTATGCCGCTACGTGTTTGGAACTTGTACAAATTGCGGTTTCTAAAGTGGAGACGCAGCTTGGATCTCCTCCTCCCACTTTGAGAGCTTTTGCTTCCTCCGTTTCTTCTTGGCTCAAGGTCATAAAATCATTTCTTTTCTTTCATTTAAATGGTGTTTTTTTTTTCGGCTTTTTACTGTTCAAAGTAAAGGGCGAGTAGTAAAAGTAAATAAAATGGTACATGAGCGTTAGTTGGTAAAGATGTTTTTCTTTTTCCATTGTATGGGAAGGTTAGTTGTCTTGTGTTTGGTATGAAGGCTTTGAAAACTTAGTCAAATTGTTGTGTCTAGTGCAGAGGTTGCGTGATATTGCTTTAAAGGAAGAAACTAAGATCAGCAATTCAAATGGGGGAACCTTGCTGACCCTGTTGGGATTGACAAGTTCTTTATCCAGGTTGGTATATGTTGTCTTACAGACTTTCACCTTAAAAAAGTTACAGGCGTTTAGTTTTGTTTTTAGTGCCATCGTGGTTTTAGTTTCTGAAATTTCAAAGGTGTATAATTTGTTATTGTTAACTTTTGAGTTGGTTTTGGCTTTTGAATTGGTGTCATTGTTTAATTTGTACCAGAGGGAACCTGTAATGCATCATACTTTCAGTGTTAGATATACGTGTGCATGTAGTTGGATTTCAGCTTCAGCACTTACATGCTTCTTTTCTTTGATTTTGTTCTAAGTCATGACATTAGCTTTCTTATTCTAGCGAATTTTTCTAATCCATTTTCATTAATATTAGCCTTTGCTCAGGTGCTGAATATCTATTGCAAATAGTTCATGGAGCCATTCCCCAAGCATGCTTTGAGCCTACTTCGTGTATACCATCTGCTGAAATTGCTGTTCATATCCTTGACCATCTCTATCTAAAGCTTGGTGAAGTATGTCTTGTGCAAGGTGGTGAGGTTGTATCTACTTTCTCATTAGTGATCAGTGTTCATGTGTTGCTTCATATTTGTGTGACTTTCTTGGTGTATGCAATTCAAACATGGAGCTTGTGCTATTTTCAGGGGGATGTATACCAGATGCTAGTTCATATATTTGTTGGAACCTTACTGCCATACATTGAGGGTCTTGACTCCTGGCTTTTTGAAGGGACACTAGATGATCCTTTTGAGGAGGTAATTTTGATTCAAGCTGAATTTATTCTAAAGCCTGAAACAATTTGTTCACTTCAATATATCCAGAAATTCCATCTTGGCGGAATGGTAAAGCACCATCATTAACTATCTTTGCCAAAATCTCTCTTGATGCAATTATGAAGACTGGGGTTGGGCATATCAATTCATTAATATTCTGGGAATGCTTATGATAGTTTGCAATTAGGATTCCATTCTTCATATATTTGCTGAATTGTAGGCATGCTTTTTGTCTCTGATTTTTGTACCTTTGACGCAATTATCCCAATTTGCAGTATCTTTACACAGTGGAGATGAGGTGCTGTTCTGTTATAGGTTCTATTTTCAGGGTTTAATGCATTGTTATAGATTCCTTCTTAAATTCCCAATCATTGTCTTTGGTCTCTTTGGCAGATGTTCTTTTATGCTAACAGAGCAATCTCAGTTGATGAGGCTGAGTTCTGGGAAAAGAGCTATTTACTAAGGGTTGTCCAAAATTGCAAGTTAAAAGTTGACCCCTCTGCCCCAATTGATACCAATGATTATGTACCTTGGACTAGTAACAAGAAGGAAACAACTGAAAAGGAGTTTGTTTCTACATCTAGTTCTATGAAAGGAAAAGAGCAAAACAATAGAGACCTTCTAGTGTGTCCTTTATTTATTAAGGACATAGCAAAGTCAATTGTTTCTGCTGGGAAATCATTGCAGCTGATCCGCCATGTTCCTATGACATCAACATTGCCTACTAGCAAAAAAAATGATAAATACAATGATGGTTTTGGGAGTTATCTTGATGACTGCGATATAAACAAGATGAATCATTGGCAAGGCATGACAGGGTTAGCGTTGGCTGAAATATTTTGTATTTCATTAGCAGGTCTTTTAGGCCATGGTGATCATATCTCTCGATATTTTTGCCAAGGTGACCAGAGCAAAGCTGAGATTATATCTTCCTTGTTCTCATATATGAAAGAACAGATCATGGAGTATGGGACTGCTGAACCCTTGCCACCTTCAGCATACTCAGAGAAGATCTGGTATAACTTCTTGGTCGATTCATTGTTAAAGAAAAAGTTTATAGATGTAGAGCCTGCAGATAAGGATTCATGTTGTTTTCCAGATACAAAAGCAGAAAATATGGTTATACATGTTGAAAATAAATTTTCGCTCCAAGGAGCTTTCTGTCCAGAAAATCTAGTCCTTACTGTGTGTCAAACTATGCTTGATAAGAACAGGAATTCCTGGAAGGCACTAAACTTATCAGAAAAGTTTTGCTTACCTCCTTTAAATGATGAATACTTAAGAAAAGCTGTTTTCGGAGAGAAAAGTGAGCTAGTTTCTGGACCTCATGGAACAAACTATACTCTTGGTTTCCAGTTTGTTGAATCTGAACATCTTCGTGCTCAGCATGACACTAAGTTGTTGGAAGTGTTGTTTCCCTTTCCTACTCTTATTCCTGCTTTACAGGTATTGCTAGATCGATATTTTTTAAACTCGATTTCTTCTGCAAACCCTGCAAGCATTTTTGATACATAAGTGAATCTGGAAACAGGATGACATCCACATGTCAGAGCTCTTGCCTTTCCAGAAGAATAGCACCCTTTCATCAAGAGTACTTAGCTGGATTCAAACTTTTCAACCAAGGACTACTGCACTTCCTATCGTTATTATGCAGGAATGTCTCACTGTCTACATCAAGAAGCAGGTAAATTGCTGAATTCATTAAACCTTTGGTTTTTGCTTATTTGTTTAGTTGTGACAAGCGTTTTTATATCTATAATGTTTGGGTTTAATGTCCTAGGTGGATTATATTGGCAGCCTTATCCTGTCAAAGTTAATGAATGGTTGGAGATTGATGGATGAGCTTGCTGTGTTGCGTGCCATATACTTGTTAGGTTCAGGTGCTATACCTGTTGATTCTGATGTATGTCAGTTGGTTATTAGATCTTAGTTCTCTGACATTTTTTTTATACATTCCTATCTTCAGGTGATTTGTTGCAACACTTTTTGACAGTGATATTCAATAAGCTGGATAGAGGAGAAACCTCAGATGATGATTTTGAGTTGAACACTATATTGCAGGTGAATAGTTGAGCAAAGATTTAATTGGTCTAGCATTCTTTGTATTTAATGGGATGATGATTTGTTGCTTTTGCCCGCATTGCAAAGTTGAAAGTTGCCAATCTCTCAGTTTGACGCAATGTACAATCATCTGATTTGCACTTTTTTAATTCTTATTGGGATAATGTTTTAAGCTTATGCACTACAGGAATCCATTAGAAACTCAGCTGATGGCTTGCTACTCAGTGCACCAGATTCTTTGGTGGTATCCATTTCCAAGACTCATGGTTTTGATGGCGATGAGCAAACTAATACAACTACTGTTGCTTCGGCTCTGTGCAAAAGTCATCCACACAGCTATGGAATTGATGGCCTTGACTCTCTGCAATTCATGTACAAGGTTAATTCCATAGTCAATCTTAGTTATTTTTTCTCCCACTTATGAGTCATGTCCTTAAAATTCATGCACTGAACATGGCAGGTCTCTTGGCCCCTTGAACTGATAGCTAATTCAGAGGCCATTAAGAAGTATAATCAGGTACTACTCTCACTTTGGTTGTAAGGTGCTGTCATCTAAAAATATGCATGTTCCTCAATTGTTTTATGTTCAATGTAGGTCATGGCATTCTTGCTGAAGGTCAAGCGGGCTAAGTTTGCACTTGATAAAGCTCGGAGATGGATGTGGAAGGTTATTTGTTTTCATTTTTTTGTCACAGTGCTCTTCTATCAAATAATCATTGATTTCTCCAAAATACTGCACGGTCACCAAGAAGACATGAGTGGTCAATTGTGAGACCCAATCATGCTGATGTCAGTATTTCTTTGATGCATGAGTTTATTCTTTGAGTATTTACTTTCCAGGATAAAGGCACTGTAAGAAACGATCGCAAGCGCCACTGGTTAGTGGAGCAAAAACTCCTTCATTTTGTGGATGCTTTTCACCAATACGTAATGGATAGAGTAAGATTTTTCTTGATGCTAATATTACCTTATTTTTAGAAGTTATGTTTCTGTTATTTCTTTTTCAACTTTACATTAACCATCTTCTAAAACTTATGTCTGCAGCTTTTTTTTTTATAATTTCATTGTCCTTTTAACAATACACTTGTTACTTCTTTTTTTTTCTTCCTATTTGTCTCTAATGACCTCTTGTACTGTTGGATTGTCTGAGAAACATTAAGGCCGGATGTGAAATGGAAGCCGAATCAACTTATTGGCTTTATTATACAAACTTTTTGAGTCATTTACTTGTAAATAAGAATGCTTTATCTCATAATTCTCTGAACATACTAACTTTTTGTGACCTTTCTTCTAACATCACTTTTGTTTTTAATTATATATACATATATGTATAGAGATCCTTTAAAGTATTATTAAGATTGCTTATGTTGCTGCTGTTAACTAGCTTTCAATAAGGGGCTTATGGTTCCAAAAACATGTATTGGTGGTTTTCTGACAATTAACATTATTAGGCCTTCGGGCCATTTAATTAAAATGCATTTATGTATATTTAATACATTTTAGTTTTAAGGCAGACTTTGATAGCTGCTTCTGCATATAAAAGTAAACTCTAAGCCTTGAAATCTCTGACTAGCTTTTGGTGATCAGGTGTATCATAGTGCATGGCGTGAACTTTGTGAAGGAATGGCTGCTGCTGGGTCTCTGGATGAAGTTATAGAAGTACATGAGGCCTACTTATTATCAATTCATCGACAATGCTTCGTGGCTCCAGATAAGCTGGTAGAATTTCCAGATATTTTGATTTTTAATCTTGCGTACTCTTTGTAAGTTGAAAGTTTTCAGGAATTATCGTTTGATTATTGCTTGATGATCTCATTGATTCTCAGTGGGCTCTGATTGCAAGCCGAATCAACAGCATTCTTGGACTAGCTCTGGACTTCTATTCCATACAGCAGACTTTAAGCAGTGGTGGAGCAGTTTCTGCAATTAAGGCCAGATGTGAAATGGAAGTGGACCGGATTGAGAAGCAGTTTGATGATTGCATTGCTTTCCTCCTTAGAGTACTGTCCAACCCTTCCTGATTGCATTAGCCTTTTATTTGGATTTGGGTTGCTATCAGTTTGCATCTCATTCAGTGTTTGCTGAGAATGTGAAATATGCATGCATAAAGAGAAATATCCATCCTTACATACGTATAATATGTTTGTTGTTTTTTTGGGGGTGGGAGCAACAACAATTTTTATTTAAAGGGGCAGATATATAATGTGCTAAGTTGGATTCTCTAATTGAAAGGCTTTTGTCTTGACAATGAAGGTCCTGTCTTTCAAGCTCAATGTGGGGCATTTTCCTCATTTGGCTGATCTGGTTGCCAGAATTAATTACAACAATTTCTACATGTCTGATGGTGGAAACTTGATGACCACCCCTAGCTCTGAAAGTGCTACTGCGAGACTGGGGAAGGCCTTTGCGAATTGAACAGAATTAATACAGTTGCTTTCTGTTACTTATGATGCCTTATCGCCATACAAGGTGTGATCAGGCGAGTTTGAATGATAGTCTCCAAAAATGCTTATGTCTATAATCTGCGAGTTTGTGACAGGCAAGGTGACTTTGAAGATATCAATTGGTTTGGTGGTGGGTTTAATCTTTTCATCAAGATTATGGAGTTGATCAGCCATCTGCCTGTGGAGTCCAATTGTACCATTGGTAATCGAAATCCTGGTGTAGAAAGTACACATTTCAATTAGATTTAAGGTTCCTGGTGGTGTGGAAATCATATCACTCTATTAGTATTATGTGATGCGGTTGATTTAGGCAGTTAGCAGCTTGTTGATATTAGTTCCTGATTTTCATTTTGTTACATGTTCATGATAAGCAATGCTTACAGGAGTCAATCATGAATATTCTATCTTGAAGTTCACTGGAAGTTATCTTGTGATTGAAAATTTTGTAAATATCATGTTAGGAATTACAGTAAGAATATTGCTTTGTATCAGAAAAAAAAAGGAAAAAAGGGAACATATGTGAGAATATTACTTTATGACAAGACCCTAGCTTCTTGTCAAATATTCATCGTTTTAAGATAATCCAGTTGCATGTTGGTCTGCTACAGATAGTTCTTTCTGCAAATATTCTTGGTGCTGGCTGACTCAGGTGAGGCTAAGTGCCAAAAGAAAGTGTTTTGCCAAATGCATTTATATTAGCTCCGTGGCTTTCTGAATGTTGGGTCAGCCACCTGTAATATTTACCAGATAACATAAGCTATTCTAAGAGGAATGTGTATCTATTATCTGGTATTTGCTAAACTTATTCATTCACTGTAACAATCATAACAATTCATCATCACTTGTAAGTAATCTCAACATATTTACAATTTGAAACATTAACTGGAGAAGAAAAAAATAAAATAAGATTGATAAGAAAAAAGCCTTAGGCTGTTCTACAATCTAGAATCTTCTATTCATGGAAATCTTTTAACTCATTATCTAATGAATTTCAGAGTTGGTCTTTCCTTCTTTAACCTTAATAATGGCAAAACCAAGCTGTGATTCGGGTCCCACTCGAAACGACCAAATTTGTACGACCGCGTCTGGCTTGAGAGTATCAGCATTGTTCTTGACAATTTGATTCCACTGAGTCTTGAAGACATATGCAAAGCTCCCTCCAATGAGCCACTTGGTCAAGTGTACTTTAGATACTTCAAGACATGGTTCTATCAATATAACATCCATCCCCCAATTATTCTTGAATTTTTCCTCCTCTGCTTCGCTCAAAAACTTGTTCCTAACTTGTTTCAATGTCATTGACAAACGGTTGTGTCCTCGGTTCAAATCAGTGGGCTTTATGAACTTCTGTATAACCAGCTTTATGTCAGTCCCACCCAAGCTTTCGATGCGATTCTTGAATACTTGAGGCATATCGGGAGGTGGTTCTAAACCTAAAGCACTAAGCTCTACCACTGGATTGAAACCCTTTCTCTGATTCTGCTTCTTGGGATCACTTGTCTTCTGCTTCTTTTGCTTCTTGCAGTCTTTTTTTTCTTCTTCAACAGAGGGACTTCCAGTTCCAGTTCCAGTTCCAAAGTTCTCAATGATCGTCATCTTCTTCTTATTCATTACAAAGCTATTTGTAAACCCTTCCAAAGCCAAGACAGTTAGTTTGCTTAACCGCTGGCTTTCATTATCAGTCCCTACTTCACTCTCTTTCTTCAGTTTCTCCCACGAACCACCATCGTCAACATTGTCTAAATATTTTAACATCTTTGATCTTCTGAACCTCTCCAAGAACCCAAGATCAATGGTAGATTTGTTGATAAAAAAACCAACGAAAGAAAGAGTTGATGTTAATATGAATATATACAAGTCTTGATTCCTAATTCTAACTGGAATCGAAAGAAGGTTTTGATTCCTAATTCTAACCGGAATGAGTAGCTTTGTACGCAAACATCACGTCCGTTTTAACGGTACAGATTTTCTTTAGTTATTCTCTCTTTCTCCAACCTAACTCCTCGCCTTCTCTTCCTTTCCCCCCTCGGCGGCGCAAGCGGTGTCAGAATGCCGGAGAGAAAGCCCCCTCCATCCCCCGTTTTGCCGTCCTCTGTTCCTTCCTCCCCGTTTTCTTTAAGTTCTGCATAACTCTGTTCACAGATACCCTTTTTTTTTTCTTTCATTTTCGAGTTCCTACTTCCTACCAAAGCCCACAAATTTGAGCGAGCATTCAAACCCATACTGCCGATGCCCTGATTGATTCCCATGGCGGCCGTTGATAAATACAACGTACGTATGGAGCCTTCTGTATGTTGGGTCAGCCACCTGTAATATTTACTAGACGAAACCATGGTTTCGACTTCAGATTAGTAGTTATTTAAGTTAATTTTTAATATCAGCAATGTAACTTGTATTGATACAAGAATTTGAAATTCCATTCCATCTGTTTTTCGTTTTATCAGAAGAACGTATGACATGTTTAGAGATATTATAGTTTCTTTTTCTTTTGACGGAATATATGAAACATATTTCTTGACTGTCACATATACAAAAACTTTATTGGTTTTATTTTTATATGAACTGAATCCAGTGTTGGGAACAGTTAATAATTTGGTGTGCTGGGGAGAGAGACCAATGTATCCTAGTTGTGGGGTAGTCTTTTGTTTTTGGAGGAAGATGAATGGGTCAATTCGCTGAGCGTTGGGAATTCGAATGTTAACTAATGGAGATGGCAAAGGTAGTAGAGAACCTCTTTCAAAAACCAGTCCAGGTGGGGAAATGTGAATAGATGGATGGAAAGGGTACTTGGGGTGGATTCAGATTGGCTTGATGACCTGATCCATATATTCTCTTCTGATGATAGATTTATACTTAAAAACCATGTCTCATGCTTTGTACTTTGGAGTTAATTTTGTGGCAATAAGTTCTTGGACCTGAAGGGGTAATGTGTCAGTTGGTGGTGAAGAGGAAGAGCAGGATAATGTCATCCTAGACATACTCTCCAGACTATTAAGCTTCCAGCTCTTACCTTGCTTGTGAGTCTCTCTACCTTTTACCATGCTGCACATAAAACCGCACCTTATGTTATATTATGGAAATGGTCTAACTAGATTTCAACTGTATTTGTATCTTAGTACAGTTGAAGCACCCAAGTCTGGAGATATGGACAAGGTTTTGCATATCAGATACTAGATATAAAAAAAACAGCTCTCAACTTAATGCGATGAAAGATATGACAGCAAATCAAGTTGAGATAATACAAAATAAGTTGCCATGAGGAATGGGATTACTTTCAAGTAGGTTATGGATCAATCTATCTATTCTCAAATAAGTGAGCTTACTGAGCTTGATAATTTGGCAAAGCAATGAACATTGCACAGTTGAGTAGGATACAAGAAAACAACAGTGAACTATCTCCTATATGGCTTCAAATGATAGTCTTGAAACTCAGAACCAAAAATTAAGGACTCTTCATCAAGTTTCTTCTTCAGTCTTCTCCAAGTCCTCAACATATTAGACTGTATCAAACCCTTATATAGTCTCTCAAAAGTTACTTTTTGAGGAAGTAAACCCTTCTCTATCATCTCCACAAAAAGCTGGCATGCCTCTCTCCATTTCTGCTTCCCATATAACCCATTAATCAACAATGTGTAAGAATCCAAATCAGGCCCTGCTGTACTCCCTTTAAGATCATTCCAGATTTCTTCTGCCAGCTCGATTCGATCCAACTTCATGAACATACCCAGCAAGATGTTGTATGTATGCAAACTCAACTCACATAGTCTATCCTCCCTCATCTTCCTATACAAATTCAAAGCACCATTCACATCCTTCCTCCCTCTATACTCCTTGAAGAAACAGTTATAGGTTGCAGCCGAAGGAGAAACCCCATTACTCACCATCTCATCAAGCAACTTCTCCGCCTCCTCAAGCCTCCCGCATGAGCAAAGACACTTGACAACTGAAGTATATGTAGCCACACTCGGGCAAATACCTTTCTCCTTCATTATTTTCAACTTATCAAGTGTTAACTCAGGCTTATGCGCCCTGCTGTATACATGTAGAACGATTGAAAAGCTGGTTACATCAGGCTCAATCCCTCGTTGGCGCATTTCGTCGAACAACTTCTCGGCATTCCTTATTGCTCTGTCAAACCTGTCATCGGGATGCAAACTGACTCTTCTACATATCCCGTTTAACATCACATTGTAAGTGACAACATTGGGTTCCATTCCTTTTTCTATCATCTCCTTTAAAAACCTCTCTGCCATATCGATTCTGCCAATCTTGCACCACCCGCTTATTAAGATTGTATACATTTTTGAATCAACCCGAAACCCAGATATCCTCTTGTTAAAAATCTCAACAGCTACCTTCACGTAGCCGTATTTGCAGAGTGTGTCGAGCAAGAAACAAAAGCAAAACGAACTGTTGACTAGAACTGTCAGTGTCAGTTTTATTGTCAGCGGTAACAAAACATCCCATATCATCGAAGGCGCGAATGGCTTGACGGGTAAGGCCAGCGGCGATCAAGCGGCGGATCAAGATCATGAAAGTGGAGGAATCGGGAGGATGTTTGTTTGGTCCATTGGAGAATGAGCTGCCAAACGACGTCGAATTGGCGGACTTTAGCGAGAACGTCGATGATGAGGTTGTAGGAGCTGGTGAGAGGAGGGAAGATGGGGAAGGAGGGAGGGATTTGGAATAGAGGAAGAAGGAGAGGGCAATCTTGGAAGAGTGTTGGAGACGGAGGAGAATCTGGTCGAGAAGGAAAGGGGAGAGGGAGATGCCGTTGAGTTGGATGGAGGATTCCATGGCGTGGAAAGGTGTGGTGGGCGAGGAGGAGTTGGGAGAGGGAGTCAGCTTCCTCCGACGGTTGGAGTTTGGGGAGGTTGAGGGAAGGAGAGCAGAGGAAACGGAGGGAGGAGAGAGGGAGAAACGGTGAAATGGCGGTGGGGAGCGTGCGTGTTCCGCATAATCTAAACGCCATCTTCAATCCAACTTCAAGCCAACATCCTTTCACCGTTCAAGTTAATCAAAGACAACAAGGAGAAGAAACAGAGGCTTGAAGCTTTCAACGGCGGAAGAAAAAAAAAAGGACAAAAATGGGTGAGTCAGGAGCTGACCTGGCATGTGAAGAGGCGCAGCATCATGCCACGTGGATAATAATGAAGCCACAAAGTATAGCCACAGCGGCTTACAGTCTTTGCAGTTTGGAGTTTGGAAGCTGTTAATCAATCTTCAATGGCGACTGCTGCTTCTTCTACTTGTTGCCAATTCTTGACTTCAGTTTGGTCTCCAAGAGCCCATTCAATTATCTTCCCTCCAATCTCCAAACCAACCCATTTTCAACCTTACCTTGCTACTGCTTCCCTCCAAAACTCTGCCTTCTCTCCTACTCCAACCACCTCCTCCTATTCTCCATTATCAGTAAAAGCCCAAGCTGCCACCCCCGGAGAGAGACAACCCATGCTTCCTCCTTACAACGTTCTTATAACTGGCTCAAGCAAAGGTTGTTCCTTTTGCCTGAAAGCTTACTAGTGACATTTTTGTGGATAGGGCCTGGATTTCTTGATAAGAAGAAACCTGGGTCAAGATTTTAAGATTTGAG